GGTACAATTCAACAGTCTGCATAGATAAGTGTTTCTGTCTTGTTCAGACCGGTTCTACTTTTTATAACCTATGAATATTTGCTTACATTGGATTCAGATTACCACCCATTGTGTTCACTTGCATGATGTAATATCAAATTTGGGCTCATGCCTAAAATCCGACATGTTAACTGAGGGATTCTTGGTACACCCATTTTATATTATATTAGCAGCAAAGACCAGTTGTTTGAATGGAGAATTCATATTAGCTGTGCAGTGAGTGAGCCAAACTGTCCTAGATAGCTTCAGCCTTCAGTATGTGACGGTGACTCAGAAATAATTTCAGTCACAATTTTTATTTTTTATTTGTTGAAGCAAAAGATTATGCTAAAAACAAATGCTAATGCAAGAAAAATTCACAGTTCAGATGGGTTTTTTTTAAAAGGGTAAAACCAATTTTTTTGGTAGATTAAATAGTTTGATGCATATAAAAAAACTGGGTTGGCTGACCTTTATTGACCTCTGGAAGTTTCCATTAATATTTCAAAACAATAGCGGCACAAATAAAAACATTTGCTGCACCATAGCTCAAACATTTGACACCATTTTAATTTAATATGAAGTTATATTAAGCTTTGAACTTCTATTAATAACTTTAAAACAGAAGCAGCACCATAAAAAAACACCCTCAAAAACCATTAAAATGTAAATGAATCGATTATTACAAATATTGTGTGATTTGAAGTATAGTGTGGGCTTGGTTGACCTTTGGTGACACCTGGAAGCTTTCAATAATATCTTCAAAAGAACAGCTGCAAAAATGAAAATCTTTAAGCCCACGTTTTTACCCAGTTGCCTTACCCCATGTTAGGTTTCAGAAATGGAGGAGCCATCAGGTGGGTCCTATCAGCTCGTTTGGCCAAAGCAATACAGTGCTTCAGTCGACCTCCAGAAAGGAGGGATTTTGCATCTGTAACAAGCCCAGGACTTCTCTGCTAATGCTAATGCCATAACAGAGGCAGTTATATTTCAATTGGAACTGAGAGACAATTAGAAGGCTCAGTTGTACAGGCTCCAATCTTACAAGCTTCTACTTTGAGGCACCATCTTTCAATACACCTTTATATGGGTTAATACTACAGTATATTAAGTAAATGTTAATTAACTCCATATAAACAATTAATACAACAAAATTGTTTATATGATTCCATATCCGTCTGAGGAGATGGTGGGGGTCTAAGGAACTGACGACTGGGTTTCTGAGCTTTAATGCGTCATACTGAGCTCGCTTAATGACACTGTAAACACCTGCAGACTGGTCGCATGTTTAATACCCCGATATTCATCCTCGCTCACGCTGTTCAGCCAGAGGTTTGCTTCTTACCACCAATGTTTTTATTATTAAAACCATTTTAAACTGAAGGCAGGAAGCACTACGATCGAGTGGTGTTGGTCTCTAGGCAACAGTGACAGCAGAAAACAAAGAGCTGAGGAGGTCTTGCTTAGATTCTGCAAAGCATTTTCGCTACTTTCGAGTGTTGATGTGTGAGTGACAGCCATGTGTATCACACATTTATAGAAATACAGAACAAGATGCTTTCCTTTTTGGTTAAATGCAGATTGTGAATTGTATTTACCCTAATGGTGGATCCATATTTCAAAGGACAGATGGCAAACTAACTTAGTGCTTCTATGTTTTCTTCTTAAACTTCTGGAGAACTTGAACTGTTATTATTTAATTTATTTTAAATAATGAAACACATGTGCAGACATGACCCCATGTACAAGAAATTATATTTAATATTTCTACATCAAAACACCAAATTCCTTTTGCAATGTTAAATGCTGAACTTAACAAACAGCAGGAAGGGGTTTTTTCTTACATCTATGAACCATAATCAGAAAATCTCCCCATTTTCTGTAACTGACACCCAGCAACCACAAGGCTTTTCATATCTATTTATATAAATGGTAACACTTCACCACAAAGTAAAAAAAAGCAGCTACACTCTCACACTATCTGCTGCAATCTCAGCATGCAGCTCAGACAAGTTTCTGCACACAGACACCATGAGAACGTTTTTATTCAAAGTAAAACTGATCTTTGTTTTGATGATGTGCTTGAAAGTGTAGATTTTCTTTGGCTCTAATGGCTTCAGGTAGTTTTTTTGTTTGTTTGTAAGTTTGTTTTTTTGTTTGTATTTTAAAATAACAGCTTTAAAATAAATAAACTATCTCCCTACAAAAGCTGAGGGAAAAGGACTGCAGCATGTTTTCCTGCAGAAATCCGAACGTCTACAGACCCATGAAACAGGGATGGCTGATATGGACTTGAACATTCATTGTGAGCTCAAAACGTGGAAATAAAATGTACCGGTACATGATCTTTTTGCATAATGAATCCTCTGCAATTGTCTAATAATATTACATAAATACAAATACTAAATTTGAATTCCCATTGCTACGGCCTGGTTAGCTTAGCCACCTAGCAGTCAGACAGCCTGTCTGCAGGGCTCTGCCTCTCAGAACACATACAGATGCATATCTAAAGGCTTATAATCTTGATGAACTGACTGCACAGGTCAGGTGTTAAAGTTACAGAAGCAGTTAGAGGATCCCACATACATATTATACTGTTCATTATAGCAGGTTTAAGGCTAAATTGATTGAGGATTTAAAATAACATTTTCTAAATACTGAGTCTGACGCTTTTATTTTTTAACAAAATGCCCCCAAACTTCAAGAATTTAATTCTCACCTCTTCTTCTTTGGTTGTTTTCCTGCTGTTTGATGCTGATCTGTCCGTAATGAATATCCTCTGTTCTCACTGCTGCATAAACAGCTTCTAGATCACGGTCTGTAAAATATTATATAGACAGTATAGAGGAGTAAGACTCAAACAGTTCATTAAAAAATCATTTTTATATGAAAGCATTGCTGTTGTAAATTTAGCAAAAATCTAAATCCATTTGTCTTTGCATGCCTGGGGGGCTCTTCTCAACAAATAAATGGGTCGGTGAGAGCATTTGATGAATGAACAAACTTCCATCTACACTCACACCTAAAAAGATTCAGAGACAAAGTGACCTAGCTGCCATGTTTCTGGAGTGTGGGAGGAAACTGAAGCACCAAGATAGAAATTGTAGGCATGTCAGCAGCAGTCCTAACCACCACTCCACCATACCGCCGCATTTAGGATTCAACCACCATTAAAACAAAAATAGTTTTTTTAGGACCAATCGCTGGTGAAGAAACCAACCTAACCCAGTCTTTTAGAGTCCGGTTAGTGGGTGTTTCCTTGGACAGACTGGCGAAGATCTGAAAAACCAAAGTGGTCAACGATACAAGAATAAATCAATAGTTTATTCCGATCCTCTGGCAGTCAAACCTTTAAAGGGATAGTTCGGTATTTTTGACATGAATCTGTATGGCATCACCAGTGTCATGCAATCACACTGACTTACCCCTGGCAGCATCCTGTGAGCAGAGTTCTCGTCCAGTTTTGGTCAAGCCGAAAGTAGTCCGGCAGGTTTGCTAGACCCAGCGAAATAAAACATTTCTCTTCCCAAAACATTATGTGTTCAAAAGAGTGATATTTTTGCATCCCAAAAACGTTGTAGTAGAAAAAGTCACACGTCGTTATCACTTGGTCCTATTTTCTCTCTGTTCGTATCAGTGCGCGCCGTCATTCAGACAGCTAGGGCCTACTAACCTGACAACAGCCAGATGCATGTCTCCCTCCGCCCAGCTAGGAGCTAGGCGGAGGGAGACATGCATCTGGCTGTTGTCAGGTTAGTAGGCCCTAGCTGTCTGAATGACGGCGCGCACTGATACGAACAGAGAGAAAATAGGACCAATTGATAACGACGTGTGACTTTTTCCACTACAACGTTTTTGGGATGCAAAAATATCACTCTTTTGAACACATAATGTTTTGGGAAGAGAAACGTTTTATTTCGCTGGTTCTAAAAACCTGCCGGACTACTTTCGGCTTGACCAAAGCTGGACGAGAACTCTGCTCACAGGACGCTGCCAGGGGTAAGTCAGTGTGATTGCATGCCACTGGTGATGGGGATGCCATACAGATTCATGTCAAAAATACCGAACTATCCCTTTAAGCCTGTTCAGCCAATTAGCATCCAGCAAAATAAAACTGAGTAGAATAAAGATTAACAAAGATAAGATCTAACTGACATGATTCTTTATATCTTACTTTTCTCATAGAAATACAACAATTGAAGTCTTTATATTGAAATACAGATCATTACCTGGATTATTTAGATTGTAACGAATCATTTTCATGGTTATTAAACCTTTAACATTAACTGAGCCATTAATTGAGCTCATTGGTTTTTCTCAAGTGTTGCGTTAAAAGCTATTAATGGACATATCAGCGAGCTCTTTGCTTTGCATGCTGCTCTCTGCTCTCTTAGGGGAAGTGGAGGTAGTGAAGATGCTGTGAGGTGGAAACTCTGTGGTTATCTATACTTTCCTGTTTTTAATGAAAGCATTTCAGCTAAAGGACCAGGAAATGTCTGCCTGTATATCTGATATACGCAGCAAAAAAACCACATAATATCTGATTAGAAGCTGCATACAAAGTTAATTACTGGTAAGAACTGCAGATTTTCTCAGTCACTGTTGAATCATCTTTGAAATTAGGAGTCAAAAAAAAAAAAAAAAATCAGTAAGCACTTATCAGCCCCAGTGCATGCTGGTCCTATACCAGTATCTCTACTATATAATGATTCCACAGTTCTTATTGAATGACTTATAAATTTAGGTAAAAGCAAACAAAAAACGCATTTATGTAATCATTAACCTAAAAATAGAAGGCATCAATACCTCTATAATAAACTTACCAAAATAAAAGTCATGAATTCACAATAAGTGGCAGGAAAGAAAGAGGTAGGAAAGGAAGCAGGATGCTTCCCAACTATTGCTCTTTTAACATAGGGAGCCCAAAATGCATCTATTTGGCACTAAGGAGCTATACGCTTTCCCACAATCCTTTGCGGACATGTGGCCACAGCCCACCTTATCAAGCTTAACTTCTCTGGGGCACATGTTAATGCCCACACCTTCATATGTTCTGGGTTTTATAATGTTCATAACGTTTGGCCCCTTTTTAGTATTTTACTGCTGAAACTATGAAAGGTGCAGGAACGTAGGTACAGTATAGAGGCTATAATGTTTCCTCCATCACCTCTGCTTCCATTAGCCTCCAGGTTGTGGGCGCACCCTGCTTCATGTTTGGCTGTACGTTTAGCTGTCCCTGAGCTGGTGATCTGATAACACCAACAGAGTTTCTGATTGCCTACATTACATCCAGAATAAATAATTCTTTATTTTACTACAGATTTTTGGATCTAGACCCAGATTAAAAGGCACATAGAACTCATATTTCCCTCTCACAGCTTAAATAAGATACAGATGTTTCCTTCTATTTTCATGAAATACTTTCCTATTTCTTTTTGATATTTTTATATTTTGCTTAACATTTATAAAGAACTATTGGATTTTCATTGCACTGATATTCAGTCAATATGAGGGGATTTAAAATGTTTATTGATTGTCGTGCATGAAACATTGAAACCATTTCTTTCTGTAAGAGGTGTTCCTGCTGAGCTGCAGTTTGGCCATTAGGCTAAAATACAAAAACAGGAAGCTAGAGGGTCACAGAACTCGTTTACCACAAACCACAAAAAACAGTCCTGCAGTCAAACACCTTATATCGTCTCACAGAGTAGAACTACAGTAAGCATCTGATAATAGATGAAGGTTTATACCACATTATTAAAAGGTTTCAGAGAAATATGTTTGTAGTTAAGGTGCACTAATGAAGTTATGGAGAATACATGATCTAGTTTGACATTAGATGATATTTTTTAATTATCTGTGACATAAAATCTCAAGAATGTAAACAAAGTTCAATACAAACATAGAAAAATTAAACAAAAAAAAAATGCAAACAGCCTTACCATTTTTTGGTTCTTTCCTCCGTTGTTTAGGGTCTAATATTCTGAAGTCACTGTACGTGACACCGTCCTCTGCAGCTTCCTCTTTATCACCTGAAATCAACCATCAAAGGTGAAACTTTTAAGGCTGTGTGGAAGTGGGAATAAAAGGGTAAAAATAAAATAAATACCAAAATGAAATAACTTTGAATAAAAACTTCCCGTGTGTCACAAACCAGAACATCCACAGGATTCTGTCTCACCTCTATGCTTCCTGTTAATGTGTCCTCTCAGCAGTAAACCCAACAAGATCAGCAAAACCACAATACTGACAAACACAACAGACAAGAGGACGAATGGAAACACGGAGCCTGGAGAGGAACCAGGACGGTTTGATGTTTCTGAAAAAGAATAAAATTAAATAAAACAGGTTTTTTAAATATATATATTCTAGATTCAGCCCAATAATTGAATATCTTCACCTGTCGCTGAGGTCCAGCTGGATGGAGAGGATGGGATGGATTTCTCTAAAAAATAAAAAGAAAATAAATGTCATATTTTTGGAAATAAGTCTAAAGTTAGAGAAGCTGCTGACCTTCAACAGAGATCCAGCTGGATGGAGACTCTCCATGACCCCTGATGTTACACCTGTAGAGGCCTTCATCAGAGCTGGTCACATGGTGGAGGGTCATGTGACCTTTGGGCTCAGTCCTGATGAGGGAGCCATCTTTATAGAAAGCAGCTGGGAGGTTGGAGGGAGTGGTCTTTGTTAGACAGCTCAGAGTGACGTCATCTCCCTCCATCACAGGGAGGACAGGACTCTGCAGGATCACTGATCCACCTCAACACAGAGACAAACTACAGCATTTCATCCATTTCCACACAGCTTCATCAACACTAACTCCACAGTCTGATCTTACCAGTGACAGTGAGCTGGATGCTGCTGCTGGCTGCTCCCTCTCTGGATGACCCACACCAGTAAACTCCACAGTCTGATCTTACCAGTGACAGTGAGCTGGATGCTGCTGCTGGCTGCTCCCTCTCTGGACCAACACCAGTAAACTCCAGAGTCCCAGGGGAACGTCACACTGATCTTACAGGTAGAACCAGCTGGTTTCCCCCATCCATCTCCACACTGAGTACTTGTTCTTTTGGTTGTGTTCCTCCATACAGTCCATCCAGCAGAGCTGTTGTTCTCCTCACAGCTCAGAGACACAGAGTCCTCTTTAAAGAACTGAGCTCTCCTGGGACTCACAGTCAGAGCAGCTGGGAGGACTGAAAGAAGAATATTTATTTAACATAAAATCAAAGAGTTAAAATAATGTTAATCATTAAAGACCTCCTAAGATACTTCATAATCCACTTATTTAATCCATGCCTATTTGTTAAATGAGTAAATAGTAAATTATTTAATTCACTGACCTTGGTTTGTTGTGAAGCACAGTAGTAAAAAATCACCTAAAAGTGGAGGAAAGCTGTTTATCTGTCTGGTTTATATTTATCTTAATAAAACACAGTTTGGTTTGATTGATGTCATACTGATGGTTCGATAGCTAACATACATTCAGACTGCATCTACATAGATCCAAAAACCATACATTGCTCATGAGAATCTAATGAATATCATAGCTAACTGTGTGGGTCGTGCAGTATGGATGTGGATAGTTGATAATATCCTGGGTTTAGAGGTGGCTTAGCTTTTTGCTTTCTTACACTGTCTGGTATCCCAGTCATATATTTTACAATAAAGGGTTCTATTATGTTTTACCTAATTATTTGCATAAAGCTATTTAGTGTTTTCACTGAAGCAAAGAATGAGAAACTTCATTAGAAAACAACATAGAGATAATAAAAATGTGTCTGCTTGCATATTTCAGGCCCAAAACCTCTGTTAGCTGTAGGCTGATTGGTAGGATGCTAATGTTCCCATGAATTTAGTCAGAATTTCTATAGACTGCTGTTACAGTTTTTTTCTTCCACACTGTTTACATTTGATCACTGCTGCACTTTAAGGAATGGAAATGTTCTGAAAACTGTACAACATGAAATTTTGTTTTGTATACACTCTGTGTATAAAAAAATACAATAAACGTTGTCTAAGTCAATGACTTAACAAGTTAAGTTTGCTAAAATGATGAATAGATATTGTATGAATAATAAATGGAGATTCTATTATATCCTATTATCCAGCAGACTGTTGTTTGATTTATTCTGCAGGTCTTTGTTATATTAACTGAATGCATTGCATTTCAGATTTACTGTAAATGTTTTTTTTTATGTTGGCTCTTATGTGCAGCCATAACATGACTGGTGACTCTGAGGCACCGACTATCAGACATTTCTACAAGATGGCCGATTATAGTCCAGTAATCCAGTTCCAGTTGGACTAGCAGTAACTCTGTTCATATTCTCGCGTTAAGGGCTGATTATCAAGTGTGGTTTTCTCATTATGAGAGCCCATCTATCTGGTATCTTTTAAGGAGCAGTATTTAGTATTTGCACATGTTTTGCTGCATTTGGACTTTTTATCAAACAGATTTTAAACTTTGAAACACAATAGATGTTATAAAAAAAAAAACATAAACAAACAGAAAGAGATAAGCCTTACAGAGCAGGCAATGTAGAGCTGCTCCATCCATTATGTCATCTGATGTAATACAAAGATAAAAAACAGGACAACAGGTCAAAAACATGAACGCAAAACAAAGAAAATTAAAAACCTTTGGCCGAAATTTCCTTAATGAAAGCCCAGACTGTCATCTTAAAGCTTATATTTCTCATATATTACTTTTTTGTTTTCCTTTAAATGCTAATAGACCTACCTTTACTATCAACAATCATCCATTTTCAAATACTCTTAATCCCAAGTGGGGTCGCGAGGTGCCTATCTCCAGGTGCCTATCTCGGGCGAGAGGCAGGGTACGCCCCGGACAGGTCGCCAGTCCATCACAGGGTAACACAAATAATCATTCACGCACACACTAGCACCTAAGGAGAATTTTAGAGAAGCCAATTAACCTAACAGTCATGTTTTTGGACTGTGGGCGAAAGCCAGAGTACCCAGAGAGAACCCACACATGCTCAGGGAGAACATGCAAACTCCCCGGGCCAGGAATCAAACCCAGAACCTTCTTGCTGCAAGGCAGCGATGCTACCTGCTGCACCACTGAGCAGCCCTTACTATCAACAACTTATGATTAATAAAGAATTCAACTATTGACTTTGTAGTTACATTTTGATTTTACAATGAAATCATCATATAAACGCACAGAAGCTGCTTTACTTACAGATTGATCTGTGTTAAGTCGGTTGGTCCTTCTTCTTGTGTTTCCTCTTGAAAGAGAATGAGGGGAACCGCTAAAGGACGGCTAAGGTGACTGTGAGGGGCCGTATGGGGGTTTGTGTGACACTGTGTGTTTTTGTGGTTGTGGGTGGGGGCTTCTAAAGGAGGAGTGCACCTCTGTTTGTGTTTCATACAGGAAGAGTCAGCAAGATGTCGATGCTGGTTACTCTTTAGATCAACATGTTAGTTTTATAAAGTTTGTTTTGTAGATTAAAAGGACTAAGGATTCTGGAACTATCATTTGTAGTCATTATAGTAAGTTATGCTCTGACATTTAACTTTTTCTATTTGGGGTTGTTTTGTTTGTTTGTTTGCTTTTTGTTTTCTAAATAGTAAGAATGAAAAATGCTGTCAATAGATTTTTTTTAGAGATTATATAAGGTCTGACTTACATATTAGGTTTAGGTATGAGTAGTGAGAATAATCTCATTAATCTTGTTAATCTTTTAGTCGCATTATGTGATGGGTCACAGAATATCGGGTAAGACTTTAGAATATAGAACAGTATTCAACTTTATTATCATTACACTGTCACAAGTAGATAGCATGTAACCCATCCCTTTGGGGAGCAGTGGGTTGCCTTTGAGCAACGCCTGGGGAGCAGTATCGGGTTAAGGGTCTTGCTCAGAGACCCAGAGTGGCAGTCTGTGGGGCTTCAACTCAGGACCTCTGGGATCAAAGCACAATGCCCTAACCACTAGGCCTCCTCTCCCCAAGGACTTGTTAGGCTCAGAACAAAAGTCTCCAGTTATTTTGGAGGGTGTGCTTTGGTGGTGCAGTTGTTAGCGCACAACCCATGTGGCTCGTTTTTATGGACAGTAGACTGACAAGAAAGGGGGTATGAGAGAGGGGGAAAGACATGCGGGAAAGGACCACAAGCCAGATTAGAACCCGGGTTGGTTCGAAAAGTGGTGATGCTACGTGTAGAGGCCTTAGGCCTCGACCCGGGCGACCCGGATTCGAATCTGGCCTGTGGTCCTTTCCCGCATGTCTTTCCCCCTCTCTCATACCCCCTTTCTTGTCAGTCTACTGTCCATAAAAACGACGACTAGTGCCGTAAAAACTCAAAAAAACTAAATAAATGTCTTAAGTTTTTTGAGGCACAGAGACAGTTAAGTTTCACAAAATGTTTATTTAAGCTGGAACTTGGAAGAACCGCGTCTAAGGATAAACCTGAAAGAAGCCTTGGGTTTATTGCGGGACACATGAAAAGATAGAATAGGTGAGCCAGAGACAGATGGCCAGCGAGTTCACCACCTAGCAATAGGGAACAGCTTAATGAAACAACCTGAAAGCTTCCTGCTTTCATTGCATGCTTGATCCAGGGAAGGAAACTAGACCACTTCTTAAGATCTGACTCACATAAAACGCGTAGTTTGGTCTCCACCTCTTGGTTGGCCCTCTCTGTCTGACCGTCCGTCTGGGGCTGAGAAATGCCAGACACTGATCAATATCACCCTGAAACTGTTCAGGAGGTGACAGATGCGGCTCCTGGCAAACTGGTCTGACAGCATGACAACAATAAGGTACACAAAAATTGATTAACGAACAAAGAGAACTAAGAAGGAACTAATAAGTAGTTAACTGGTACTTACTGGGAAACACAAATTCCAGACTTATAATGGGGGTAATGCTTAGTTATCTGGGAAACACAGAGTAACTAATTAGGAACTAATGTGAAGTTACCAAGGAAACAACGAGTAACTAATCAGGAACTAATGTGCAGTCACCAAGGAAACAAAGAGTAACTAATTAGGAACTAATCTGTAGTTACCAAGGAAACCAATGATTAGTTAAGCACTGGTTACTAAGGAAACAAATGAGTAGCTAATCAGGAAATAATGTGTAGTTAATACAGAAACCAAATAGGAACTAATAAAGAACTAAAGTGTAGTTAATCACTATTTGCTAGGGGGCTAGGGGTTTGTTACATCAAAATTAAAGAAGAGATTTTCAGCGTTGGTTTTGAATTAACCCTAAACCTGTGAAGTCACAGCTTATAATAATCTACTTTAATAAATTTGAAACATCATATTAAGTAGTTTATTACTACTAAGTAGGTTACTAATGAACTAATCATTACTTAAACCCTACCTGGCCAATATCTAATGTTTTTGTGTACCCTTAAGTTAAGTGAAACTACCGATTAATTCCTGCTTAGTGACTCTGTTTCCCAGGCGACTAAGCAATAGTGCCACAATAAGGCTGGACTAGGTGTTTCCCAGTAAATACCAATTACCTACCCATTAGTTCCTGATTTCTAGTTCCTATGCACTCCCTAGCATATGTTGTGTAACTTATTGTAGGTAAGAGCACCTTTTATGTGACGGGTGTGATGCAGAACCTGGTTAACTGGTTTACATTTACCAGACGCTAAATTCCAGAGGTGGTGCAAATTTTAATGTTCCCGTCAAATAATAAACAATGCTGCTCAGGTTTAAACCGAACAAGTTAATCTGCCCAAGGCAAACAAGCCTGTAGTCATAGATCAGCCTGTTTTGTCATAAACCTGATAAAACTGAAAATTTGCTCAGAGATGAACAGCAGCATACCCCTTTTGGTGTCATCATATAACATAGCCAATCAGATTATTAAGCTGAATTTATACCACCTCTTTATTGGGTCTCCATATTTTCAACTAGAGCATGTTTTAGAGGAGCTGGGCTCTAAGGAAGAAATTATTTCTAGATCAATAGCTTTTTAATATAATTACTTCCTCCTCAGTGTTTCTCATGTTCAGTAATAATGAATTGGTTGCATTTAGTGCATTTAGTTACCTAAGACTGATTTTAATCTAAAACTTCACACACTTTTAATTACTTTAACTTGTTGAACCAAGACTGATTCAAACCTCCGTGTTTGACTGGTGGCTCACCTGCACAGTCACTTACAGTTAGCCATAAGGACCTGCAGAGGGAGACATTTACATTCCTTTAACTCTGATAGGTTTCGTTTATCCCTACTTTCATTCAAATTCACAGTTTAATAAATGGTTCATTTTTTATCATGACTTCTATGTGTCTAGTTTTATTATTTGTGTTTTGAGAGATTTTTGTTAAATGTAAAACACAGCAACAAGAGAGAAATGAAATACCAAGTTATGACGCATTTAGAGGAGGTCACGTGATTTACTGGAACTCAGGTGTATCACATTTCACTCATTTAACTGGAAGTGGCTGTAGGGGATGTATGTATGATGTGATCTCTGTGTGTTTTTCTAATGTTTTTACAT